ATAAGATTATGAATAGGCATGTCGTTATGAGAAGATTCGTTAATAATTGGATAACATATGTTTCTTCAGTGGCAATGTTAATTTTAGAAGAAAATAAAAATGTCTCTAGGAGGTGTAAAATATTATCGAATGGGTAATCTGGATTTTAGATTAATGTGGGTGATGCTAGGTTTATTGTTGACCAAGTAAAAAGGGTACTTGTACTTGTAGAAGTTGGCAGTTCGATCTCCAAACATGCTATTTGTTTATATTCGAAGGTAGTGTTATATCATAATGATCTACAAAACAATCTATTACTACTATTTCTTCAAATCATACTGAAATAATAGTTATTCATAAAGTAACTAGAGAATATATATGATTGAAATCAGTGATACATTTCATCAATGAAATAAGTGGCCTAAAATGTGATAGCAATGTACCCATAGTTCTATTTGAAGATAATAATGCATGCAAAGCCAATTAAAAGGATGCTTCATAAAAGAAGATAGAACGCAACACATTTCGCCAAAATTATTCTTCACCCATGATCTTTAGAAGAACAATGATATTGATATACAACAAATTCTTTCCAGTGATAATCTAATGGATTTATTCATCGAATTCTTACTAAGTTCAACTCTTGAGAAGATGTTATACAAGATCAGAATGCGAAGATTAACCATCTGAATCACAATTTTTATTGGAGGAAGTAAATTACTCATTGTACTATTTTTTTAAATTAAGATTTTATCCCACTAATTTTCTGATAAGATTTTTATTGAGGCAACGAACAAATGCTTATTATTATATGCATTGTTTTTTTTTGCTTAACTAATATTTTTTCTTACTAAATTTTTTCTAGTAAGATTTTTAGTAAGACACATTATCTATTAAATGAACATCAAAAGGGGAGTATTATAAATATACACAATTTATTGAATAAACCATCAATCGAATATGCATTTAATTGAATAAACATCCAATAAATAAATATATGATTGAATAAGAATGCACAAGTAAATAGATTCCAGTTCATTTGACAATGAGTAAAAATCAAATAATGATTAATATATTTGTATATTTACTTTATTTTCATTTGACCATGAATAAATCTATATTTACTTTATTTTCATTTGAATATGAGTCAAAAATCAAATAATAATGGGAAAATGCATAAGTAACCCCCAAACTATGCCCGAAATTCCAAAGACACACTTATACTATACTAAGGTCCTATTACCCCCCGAACTTATTTTATAAATAATTTTCTACCCCTTTTCGGCCTACGTGGCACTATCAACCAGATAGCTTGAAAAAATTGTCAACACGCGCTGGGCCCAGAAAATAAAGTAATATCTTTCTATATTTACTTTATTTTCATTTGACTATGAGTCAAAAATCAAAAAATAATTAATATATTTCTATATTTACTTTATTTTCATGTGACAATGAGTCAAAAGCCGAATAATAATTAATATCTTTCCATATTTACTTTATTTTCATTTGACTATGAGTCAAAAATTGAATAATAATTAATATCTTACTATATTTACAACCCTTTTCTTGCCCAATTTCGTCATCTGATTCTTATATATAGCCCTAAAAATTATACCCCTAATACATATTACATGAAGTTGCCAGTCTTGTTTGTTCATCTCCAAACTGAACCTTGCCCATTTTAGCTAGTAAGCATTATTATTACTACTAGGATTTCTTGCCTAGTGGAACATCAATAAAAATTGTAAGTCATGCTTAGAATAACTTCGTGATTGGATACTCATTCCAATTAAAATGAGAGAAAAAAACACAAGAAATCAAGTGTTTTGGATCTTCATCTTGATTTTTGTCCCTTTTTCTCTCACTTGAATTAGAATTAGAATTCAATAATCTCACGAAGTATTTTTGAGTATGACTAACGACTTGTATTGATGTTCTGCTAGCCAACAAATTCTTTGTAATCTTAGCCCAGTTACCTTTCCCATGAAAATCCAATCCGCCCTGTGTTCATTCTCTATCCATGGATTTCCTTTCTTGTTTTTTCTTCCCATAAAATCTTTTTTAGATATTTTTGCAGCAAGTTGTAGTTGTGCTTTCTCAACTACAACTTCAATTTATGCTTTTTATTTCTCACGGCAGGTTTTGTGATTATGCCCTCATTGCTATTTTTTTCTCTCTTAATTTGAGAATTTAAGAATAATAGTGTCATTTTTACTTTTCCTAATATTTAATATTAGTTATGTAATCAGTTCTTATTTTTTAGTAAGATTACCTGCTCTTTAATTTATGTTACTAATCAATAAATTTATATGTAATTATCTTTTGAATAATATGATTATTTGGATAATTTTTATACCGTCAACCAGTGCATATAACTTAAATCAATCTGTATTTACATCACAATAATTATTTTATCATACAATCATTAATGTTTTTCTCCGTTCAATAGCTTTTATGTAAAATGTTCTCTTTTGTATGCCACGTAAACGCTACTTTGTATTTATTACAATCAAGTACAAATAGTGAAAAGTGTCTTTGGGATAAGGGAAGATATTCCAAATTATTTAAGGCAAGAGAAGGTAAAGGATTATGTCTATACTAACTATAATTTACCTTTTTTTCTACTGTGTTTTAGTATCCCAAAATATTATATGATAAATAAAGAAATTGGTGAAAATAATAGTTGAAACATTTCATAACACTTCCTGAAAAAATATTTTTTCTTGGAGGGAAATGCACACACCTTATATTTCCATTAATTTTTTCTCGGTATAAATTGTCACGTAACATGTTTTAATATTGAATGTTATTTGTAGGGAATCAGGAGATCTCAGAGAGGAGTTCTTATGTTTGATCCTCTTGACACAGGGAAAACATCTTGGCCAAAGATATTGCTATAAAGTGTGGGTACGGGGAGAGTGAACGATTAACACAGTGCTTAAACGAGCTTGCCCATACTCATGCTCCAACTACAATTTTCATCAATGAGACTGATGGGTAAGTAAATAATAGAATTGTCAAGATATTCAATCTCATCAATGAAAATTGTTGTTGGAGCATGAGTACGGGCAAACTCAAATAAGCACCGTGTCAATCGTTCACTCTACCCATACAATTTTCCACACAACAAACTACAAGAAATATTCATAAATGTTGTCCCACACTCTGTAGCAACATCTTTGGCCAACAATGTTTTTCCTGTGTCAGGAGAACCAAGCAGAACAACTCCTCTCCAAGGTCTCCTATCACTGCAAATAATATTCAATATTACAACATGTTACATGACTGTTTGTTACGAGGAAAAATTAAAGGGAATATGAAGTGTGTATGGCATTTCCCTCCAAGAAAAATATTTTTTCGGGAAATTATATGAAATGTTTCAAATTCTTTCGGCTTTTTTGCGGGTCTCTGTTAAAGATTAATAATAATGAAACTAGCAAATTCGGAAATATTTTGTTGATCTTTTTTTAGAAGAATGCATAATAATGTCAAAATGTGTCGGTTGGAGCGAGTGATATTAAGTTGAAAGTTAAGATAATTATAAAAAAAATGACATTATTTTCTTCCTTTTGGGAAAATGATGAAAAATATGTTGTTGAAATATAACTTCCATGGACCAAACATGCATCCACTCATCATCATTAGTATGCTAATATTTGAGAATCAACTATCTCGAGTACCCAGAGTCCCACACTCTGTAGCAACATCATCCCATTAAACCCTTGAATTTGTGTCCTTTTTAAGCTGAGTAACTAATTCAAGAAGAGGTTGTCACGATCCAAAATTGGACGTGATGGAACTTATCTATTCCTACCCAGACAAGTCAGCCTCAACCCAACGAAAAGAAAGAAAAATGAAAGATACTGAAAGAACAAGATAAAAGCAAAAAACTTATTCGTTCTGTTCACACCCCAAAACCATTTACACAACGACAAGGTTCACAAGTAGGTCAAACATAGGCATAAAAATGCATTAAATCACAACAATCAAACTCTTGCCGGAACCATTTTCCTTCGCACAATATCACTTGCCGGAACCATTTCCCATCGGCTTTATATCATATCACTAACCGAAACTATTTCCCATCAGCTATATCATATCACTTGCCGGAGTCCAAAATCAGATTTAAGTCACTTTGAACGTTTCAAAAGCAAAATAATTTGGTTAGTTGATATCTTACTTTTGCAATGAAATAACAAGATCTATTGATATTTACGAAAAGAAATATAAAATCTACTTCCAAATCAAATCTTATAGATATTCTTTTACTTTCACTATGTTCTTTATTTATCACTTATTGCAGTAGGATACTAACACAATGTAAAAGAAAAGGGTTATTATAGTTAGTACAATCATAATCCTTTACTTCCTTCCCATAAATACTATCTGAAATATTTTCCTTAATCCAAAGACACATTTTCCCTTGTTTTCACTGAATTATAATAAATATAAAGTAAGGTAGCTTTTACACCATATAAAAAAGGTAAACTTTTAATATCGGATGATGTATAACATTAATCATACGATGGTAACATAGTGCTACCTTCGTCCAATTTTAGTTGTCATAGTTTCTTTTTTTAGAGTCAAACTATAAAAAATTTGACTAATATTTTACGATGTATTTTTTCATCATATTGATATGCAAAAAATTGTAATTTATAGTACTTTTCATATAGTTTTTGAATATCTATTTTTTTTTAAATATCAAATTAATGTAATCTAATTTAACTTTGAAAAAATTAGTCAAATTAACTTTTGAAAAGTGCACAATTAAAAGTGGACGGAAGTAATAGTAAATTTATTGATTAGTAACCTAAAATAAACGGTAAGAATCTGCATAAAAACATATTCCTTAATAATAAAATAAGTAGTAGTAGTAGTTACCATAACTAGTCTTAAAAAGTGAAAAAACACGCTTTCTATAAAAAAAAAAAAGGAAAAAAAAAAGGAAACTCTCCTCCTTATATATACACTAATACTATTTTTCTTCATTTATCAAATTAAGAAAATTGTTTTTAGCCATGGATAGGAATTGCAATGAAAATGGCAAAAGCATCAAATTGTTTGGTTTTGAGATCACTACAACAACAACGAGTTCTGCTGCTGCACTAACATCTGAAAAATATTTCATGGGAAGGAAAATCAAGAAAGGAAATCGATGGACAGAGGATGAACAGAGAGCATTCTTGAAAGGATTGAATTTTCATGGAAAAGGAAATTGGACTAACATTGCTAAGGATTTCGTGCCTAGTAGAACGTCGACACAGGTTGCTAGTCATGCTCAAAAGTACTTCCTGAGATTATTGGATGCTAATTCCAATGAGAGAAAAAACCGTAAGAAATCAAGTGTTTTCGATCTTCGTATTGACAAAACAGAGGATACACGTAATCAAGAAAGTCATAATGTGCCAAGTTTTGTACCAAATTATATGATGAAAAGTGTTCCAACAGTAATGCCTCTTACTTGGGTTCACATGTATCCGTATAATGATCATTATGCCTCTATGTCAATTTGGAGTTAAAGTTATAGTCAAAGAAGATATACACAAGGCTACTTATTATTTGATGTGTTTTTTTGTATGGATATATGTCTTATTGTAGTTGTATATTTCCGATATATGAAATGAAACCATAGTTAGTTCTTGATTCTTTTGTCGTCTTGCTGTATTCCACATCCACATTATCTAACTTTCTCTCTATCTCAGCCCAGCTTCAAATCAGTTAACAGGCGCGCCAAAACCAACAAGGATAAGCATAAGCAAAATCTCTGCAAGTCGGCAGTAAAGCCACAAACTAATCATTCTAAGACAATGAAAATTAATCGGGGATTAATTGAAGCCCAGACAGTAGGAGAAAGGGAAGGAAGAATTTAGTGAGAATCAACATTACATTTCTTGACACCAATATCGAAATAATCTTTTTTTAAGAGGTACATACTAAGTATTAGTACTTATTTTAGCTGAATGAAAAGTTTATGTTTGATGTAATCATATAGTGAAAGTAAGCATTTTCCCAATATAGTGAAGGTATTAGCTGCATTAATGAAAACTAGGAGACTTTAGGTGACTATAAATCCATCAGTTGGAATAATGAAAACTAGGAGAGATGACAACTTATCGACTTGTTTTACTTCTAGGTTCGGGACTTAAATGTGAGCCTTCTAAGTATGTACTGTAATACAAGTCTAGATCATTTTGGTAGTATTTTACTTATCAGATAAGTGATTTTACTTACATTTATGATATTTGACATATCTCATGTTTTCCATCTTTGAAACCTAGAAATGAAGAGAAAACTCATCAAATTTGGTGCATCATATGTGCCAGCATATAGAAAGGAACAAATTTTCTATACCACCAGAAAACATATCAAGAATAATACTGAAAGAGTTATATGTAAGTCTTACTTTTATTGATGTACAATTGTCTTTGTTTTATACATAATAGAGTACATCGACATGGAAGGAAATAAGAACTAGTAAGGGAATTATCCACAAATAAGGAAAGCTAATAATATACATTAAGAGGGAGATATCTCTACACCAAATAAGGAGATAGCATTGAAGAGGAGGATCTGCATAATAGGAATATGGAATATTCCTGATAGACCCCCTCAAGATGGTGGTCTATCAGAGACACCAATCTTGGAAAGAAACCGTTCAAAGTCATGGCGGGAGAGCGACTTCGTTAATAAGTCAGCAAGCTGATCCTTTGTTGAAATGTGAGCAACCCGAAGCTGACCCCGTTGAACCATAGAACAGACAAAGTGATAATCAATTTCCAAGTGTTTCATTCGTGAATGGAAGACTGGATTTGTTGAAAGGTAAGTCGCACCTAAATTATCACAATGTATCACTGGTGGTCCAGAAAGAGAAAGAGAAATCTCCTTCAAAAGATTCTGAACCCAACATAGTTCAGCAGCAGTAGAAGCGACTGATCTATACTCAGCTTCAGTGGATGAGCGAGCTACTGTTCGCTGCTTTTTTGAATACCAAGAAATTGGATTTTTACCAAGGAAGACAATGTACGCACTAGTAGAGGTACGATCATCACGATTTCCAGCCCAATCAGCATCGGAAAAGGCATGTAATACCAAAGGAGAGTCCTTGGAAAAGTAAATCCCTTTATCCATTGTTCCAGCAAGATAGCGGATAACCCGTTTAAGAGCAGCAAAATGATTTGTAGTTGGTCTGTGTGAGAACTGAGCTAGCCGATTGGTAGCAAATGCAATGTCAGGCCGTGTTAGCGCCAAGTATTGGAGACATCCAACCAAAATTTGATAGTCTTTTGAATCACTCAAATGAACACTATCCTCCAAGGCCAGATTATTGGTAGTTGCAAGTGGAGTAGAAACAGGTTTTGCACCACTCATTGAAGCACGTTCAACAATATCCTCGATGTACTTCCGTTGAGATAGATATAAGCCTTTCAGAGTGCAAATCACTTGGACACCTAAAAAATAAGCAAGCTGCCCCAAGTCTTTGATTGAAAATCGCTTAGCAAGCTTAGCAATGAAGATATCAATTGCCTTCTGATTATTCCCTGTCACAATCAGATCATCGACATAGACTACCAAGTATATGATGACATCAAGCTTAGAATAAATAAAGAGACAATGGTCGGACTGAGATACTGCAAAATCCAGAGAAAGGAGATAGTCTCGCAATTCCGAGTACCAAGCCCGTGGAGCCTGTTTGAGACCATATAAAGCCTTATGCAGTTTACAAACATAATCAGGCCGAGTAGAATCAACAAAGCCTTGTGGTTGTGCCATGTATACATCCTCCGTTAAATGCCCATGAAGAAAAGCATTATTCACATCCAATTGATGTAAGCTCCAATCTTTACTAACAACAAGAGATAAAATAACTCGAACTGTAGTATGTTTAGCTACAGGAGAAAACGTTTCAATGTAGTCAATACCTGGACGCTGAGTAAATCCTTTAGCAACTAATCGCGCCTTATATTTATTCAAGGTACCATCTGAATTTTGCTTTACCCGAAAGATCCACTTGCAACCAATCAAGTTTTGTGATTCGGATCTCAGAACAAGTGTCCATGTCCCCTGTTGTTTCAAGGCATTATATTCCTCCATTATAGCAGATTTCCAGTCCAGATCTTTAAGATCTTGGGAAATATTCTTAGGTTCGGGTTTGTGGGAAGAAGTAGATGTATGAACTAGAGGCGATTTGTTGGTAATTTGAGTGGAGAGGCAAAGCTTGTTGACAGGTTTGTGAATATTATTTTTGGAGCGGGTGATCATGGAGTGAGAAGGTGGAACAGGTTTAGATTGAGGGATTGGGCTTGTGGTAATGTTGCTTGGACTACTTGAAGGAGCATTTGAGGATTCAGTTTGCCATTGACTTGTGATTTGGACAGTAGTAGGTGGGGAAGTAGAGACTACTGGAGGAACATTGATGGAGCTTGAGTTGATACAACTAGGTGAAGATCCATGTCCTGATGAGATTCCCATTAATTCATTTGATGAATGATCATTGCTCGGTGACGTCAAGCAGCAAGGAGAACTTCTATTGACAGAGTGAGTGACCATCGAATGGGCTGATTTAGTTGAAGAAGAGGATACAATAGGAACAACAAAATGAGGAGCCCATGTCGAAAGTGTTTCCGTGGTAGGGCGAGAAGCTGTAGAGGCCAGAGTAGAGAAAGGAAATTCATGCTCTACAAAGTTGACATGGCGAGAGATGAATATCTTAGATGTGGAGGGATCGAAGCACTTGTAGGCACTTTGATTAGTAGAGTATCCCACAAAGACACATGGTTTCGAACGAGGCTCTAATTTATTTTGAGAATAAGGGCGCAACCATGGATAACATAGACAACCAATGACTCGGAGCTTTTGATAATTTGGAGCACTACCAAATATGCGAAAATGTGGAGACTCATTATGAAGCAAAGGAGTCGGCATTCAATTGATAAAATAGACAGCGGTCTGGAAAGCAAAGGACCAAAAAGATAAAGGGAGTTTGGCAACATGAAGAAGGGTAATGCCTGTTTCCACAATGTGTCGATGACGACGCTCAGCAGTACCATTATGTTCAGGTGTGTGAAGCGGGGTTAAGAAATGAGAGATTCCATTGGCAGTAAAGAATTCTCGAAGATGAATGAATTCACCACCATTATCCGAGTAAAATGAGACAATAGATCTGTTGAAAATTTTTTCAACCATGATCTTAAATTTAGGAAAAATTTGGGAAACCTCATACTTCTTTTTCATGGGGTATAACCAAACATACTTGGTAAAATGATCAACAAAAATGAGATAGTAATGAAAACCATCAACAGATGGAATTGAAGCAGGCCCCCACACATCAGAGTATATCATCTCTAATGGAGAAACAGATTTTATTGAGGAAATTGCAAAAGGAGTTTTATGCATTTTATTACATTTGCATGAATTACAAAAAAAAGTAGAGGAAACAGACTTGGAAGGGATGTCTAAATAACGAAAAATTTGACGCAAAATAGGAGAAGACGGATGACCAAGACGATAATGCCAAGTTGAAACCGACGAGAGATGAACAACATATGCTGAGTGTGATAAAGGAGTTGACACAGACTTGGATTTGATAGGCCACTCATAAACTCCATCTCTAGGTTCTCCCGCTACCAGTAGTGCCCCCGTGCGACAATCCTTCACAGTAAATGAAGAATGTGAGAATTTAACAGAAACATTATTTTGGTTGCACAATTGATAAACAGAAATCAAATTCTTTTTTATTTGTGGAACACACAGAACATTAGAGAGGTGAAGAGGACAAGCAAAAGTATTAAGAGTAGTGGAACCACTATGTGTCACACTCAAAGATTTACCATCACCAATCATAACATTATCACCATCATAATCAGTAGTTAGTGACAGATTCTGGAGGTCACTAGTAACATGATGAGATGCACCCGAATCAACCAACCAATCAGCGGAGCCGATGGAAGATGAAACAAAGTTGGCACGTGGTTGAGAGTTGCCTGTTGAATTTGAAGTCACAGAAGATCCCATAGAGGGAGCAAACCATGGAAAAGCTACCTGCAATTTTCGGCATTGCTTAACAACATGCCCAGGCTTGTCACAGTATTGACATATCACTCGAGAACTTTGCTTGCTACTCTGTCTTGAATTCATTTCCTGTTTGTTACGGTGACTAGAAGCATTTTGGTTCTGAAAAGTGGATTGCCGATTGTTTTTGTTGTTGCGAGAGTTGTTTGAGTTACTCTTGGCAACAAAGTTGGCAGTAATCGGCATTGAAGAGGCATCACTCTGGCGACAAAGATATGCCTCATAATCGCATAGTTTTTCATGGAGTTCATCAAAAGTGATAGGTGAGTCACAGGTGCGGAGAGAATCACAAATCCCTCGATATTCAGGTGACAAACCGTGTAGATAAGCGTAGTAACCAATTGCTTGATATGCTGGAGATAAGATGACATAGATTGTGTACCTTTCGTAGCTTGAGAAAGAGACTCCTTTAGACCTAAGAGTCTAGCACGAGAAGGTCTTGCATAAGTATTATGCAAGGTAGTCCACACATCGAAGGAGGTATCCGCTGAAAGAACCAGTGGAACTACCTCAGAAGATAAAGACGCGACTAAGGCACTGCGGATCAATTGATCCTGTCTATTCCAAAATTCAGAAGTCAGTTGTTGCCTCATAGGGGAATTAACAACATAACTTGTAAAGCCATATCCTATCAACAGTGAGTGCCATTGAGTGTACCAAACTTGATAGTTTGATGGTGTAAGCTTGATAGGGGCCTGAGCCGATGCATTTATGGATAAAAGTTGTGACTCTTGAGTGAGATTAGATGACGGAGAAAGGGAAAAAGAAGGTGTGATTATTGTGGATGTATTTGGTGGTTGTGGTGTAAGTGGAGGAATAGAGTAAGTTGTTGTTACAGTGGGTTGCTGGGAAGGAAACACTAAATTTGGGTAGGCTTGGGATGTTGTCAATGGTGGGATGATGAAGTTATTATTGATTGGTAATGGATGAATAGTAGAAACAACTGATTCAGTTGTAATGGGAAGGGGAGCAGTGGTGGAGGTGTTTTCACCCATGAGAAACCAAAAACCAATCTGCTCAATCCCAAAAAAAATTACTGTCGTGTGGCTATGGCTCTTGATACCATGAAAGAGTTATATGTAAGTCTTACTTTTATTGATGTACAATTGTCTTTGTTTTATACATAATAGAGTACATCGACATGAAAGGAAATAAAGAACTAGTAAGGGAATTATCCACAAATAAGGAAAGCTAATAATATACATTAAGAGGGAGATATCTCTACACCAAATAAGGAGATAGCATTGAAGAGGAGGATCAGCATAATAGGAATATGGAATATTCCTGATATATACTACCAGTAGGTGAGTCGACTGTTCCACGCAGGAAGTCGACTAAAGAATTTTAATCCCGCCCCTTTACTTTCAGTATGGACATTGTTGAAAACCCATTTCTGAAAATATGCCTCAATGCGACTATACCAAGCTCGCGGGGCTTGTTTTAGTCCATAAAGAGCTTTCTCAATCGATAAACCTTCTGCTCATTACCAATCTTAACATAACCAGGGGTTGTTCGATAAATATCTCTTCCTCCAAGTGTCCATATAGGAAATCTAATTTCACATCCAACTGGAAGATAAGCCACAAATTTTGTGCTGCCAAGACAATTAACATTTTGATAGTGTCATGCCTTCTAACTGGAGCAAAAATTTCAGTGTAATCAACACCATATTCCTGCTTGTATCCCTTAGCCACCAATCGCGCCTTACACTTATCAATTTCACCTTTTTCTTTAAGTTTCATCTTATAGACCCACTTGACACCAATGGTTTTGTTCCTCTCATGAAGATCAACAAGCTCCCAAGTATCATTCCTTACAATAGCTTCAATTTCAGCATCTTATCATCTTTCTCCATTCTTCTTCTCTAACAACACTCTCAAATGTTGTCGGGTCACAATCTGCAAACAATGCCAAATGAGTAATTGAATCATCATTTACATTGATTCCTGGTACCTTATAGTCCAGCATCCACGTGGACTTTCTGCTAGCATGGCGAAGAGAATGAGCTACTGCATCAGTTTCTTCTAAAGTTGCTGGTAAAGTTTCAGCAGTTGGTGAAATTTCAGCAAGAGTTGGTAGAGTTTCAGCAGCTATTGGAGATGAATTCTCTGCACTTTTAGGCATTTCAGCCACTTCTTCGACTTCACTGTCAAATACGATTGGAGTAGACTTCTGTATACTCCAGTCCCAAGGGTTTTCTTATAAAAAATAACATCTGTACTGATTACAATCTTCTTGTCATCAAGTTTCTTCCTTTTCTCGTCTGAAACGATGTGCATAGGCAATGCAACCAAAAAATCATAAGTGATCAACAATTGATTTTCTTCTACTCCAAGCCTCTTCTGGAGTCATGTTTTGAACAGTAAATGTTGGACTTCTATTCAATACATGAGTGCTCCAGTTAATCGCTTCTGGCCAGAATGCCTTTTTCATTCTTCCTTTTGCTAGCAAACTCCACACTATATTGAGAAAGGTTCTATTCTTTGTCTCTCATACACTGTTTTGTTGTGGTGTATAAGCAGTGGTGAGCTCTCTACGAATTCCATTAGATTCACAAAAATCTTCAAAGACTTTTGAGCAGTACTTGCCACCACGATCAATTCGAAGAGTCTTTATGGCTTTTCCCGTATAATTTTCTACATGAGCCTTGAAGCTTTTAAATACTCCAAAAGCTTCTGACTTTTCTGGCAAAAAGTACACCAAAGGTTTTCAAGAATAATAATCTGTAAAGGTAATTAAATACCTTTTACCTCCATTAGAAATTGGTTTAATTGGGCCACATATATCAGAATGCACCATCTCCAAACAATCCTTCGCCCACCACGACTTCCCTTTTGGAAACTGAGAACAATGTTGTTTGCCAACAACACATTCTTCACAAACTCGGGAAGGGATGAGAATTTCAGGAAGGCCTATCACCATATTTTTCTCTTGGAGAGTTTTTAATCCACCAAAACCCAAGTTACCATATCTAAAATGCCTCAACCATGAAGAATCTTTTACTTTTGTTTTTTAACATGATTGAATACTCTCAATATTCATGGGAAATAACCTTTTTGAATTCATTTTCACAATGGCAATAGCTCCTCTATTAGGACTATAAATCTCACAAACACCTTTTCCAATGAGAATAAAATATCCTTTTTCTTGCAATTGTCCTACACTCAATAAGTTTCTTTTAAAGCGGGAACATATAGCACATTTGATATATTTCTTCAAAACCATTCTTCGCTTTAATTTTAATATCACATTTTCCCATTGCATCCACAATAGAGCAATCACGAAGGCTAACTTTAGAACGAAAGCTTTCATTTAAATAAGAAAAACAAGACTTACTCGCACTCATGTGATTACTGCAACCTGTGTCTTGATACTAAATATCTTGTCCAGGCACTTCTTGTGCTTGTATTGCCATCAACAAGGTCTCTGTTTCCTTGCTTTCAACAAAATTGGACTTCTTGTCCTTCTCATTTGGTATCCTAGTGTAGCAATCATATTGATATTGGTCAAATTTATGACATTGATAACATTCTACCTTTGATTTGTTGTAGTCAACATTGACCCTAAAATTTATGCTTCCATCTCTATGTCCACGGTCTTCTCTCCCTCTTCCTCTACCTCTACATCTACCTCTACCTCTTCCTCTAGAATTGGAAAAAGCAAAAGTAGAATATTTCAAGGCCCACTCCTCAGAAGTTGAACTGCGATTCATCTTTTGGTCATGCACCAATAAGGAGCTTTACAATTCGTCAAGCGACAACTCATTTATATCTTTTGACCCCTCAATGGAACAAACAACATAATTGTACTTTGGCGTCAAAGAGCGCAATAGTTTTTCAACAATTTTGACATCATCATCTTCTCGCCATAGAACCGCATTTTGTTGCTAATCTCTATTGTTCTAGCACAGTAATTAAAATAGAAAGCATGTCTATTGTCCTCGAAGTATGGATCCACCACTGAAGTTGCTGAATATAAGCTGAGAGTCAAACTAAGCGTGATCTGGATGTTGAGTGTCTGAACCTACATCATGAAATGATGTAGCGCAAAGTATGTGTCAGTACTTGGAATGTACTGAGCATGCAAGATATAGATATGCTAAGTTGAACAAAGTATATAAGCTGAACAATGCATAACTGAGCAATAATATAATCTAAACAAGGATATAAATATGTACTGAAGTATAACTGAAAGATAAACTGAATGCAATGACCAAGTACTAATCATGAAGATAACATGTTGAACTGTATACTGAAGTAACTGCTAAAAACCTGGTCAATGCGCTAAGAGTTTGACTGTGGGAGCTACTATTAACCGACATAAACCATATAAGCTAAACATGGAGTCTGATATATACGCCCCATCGAGAGGACCCAATATACCTTGTCAGGGGTATAAAGACATGATTGTGGTGTTAGAGCAAAGTTTTAATGATAAACAACCTATTTCCTTGCAGGGCAAACGTATCATCAAAAAGGAAAAGAATCAATCGTGGATCTCCATAAATCAAGTGAAGATTACCAATCAAGGATTTTGATTGATAAACAATCAATCAAGGATCCATGTAGACATCCTCAGAATACACAGATCTTGAAAGGCACTAATCAAGGAAGGTAAATATCTCGACAGCTAGCAATGAAGAATACAATGGCTATATTCCAACCATCAATCAAGGAAAGCTGAAGATGCCAAGTCTACAATTAATCAAGGAAGCTGAATATTCAAAGATAAACTGAAGAACACAACGACAATAATCTACAGTCAATCAAGGAAGCTACAATGGCTATAATCAATAAGGCAATCAAGGAAGCTGAACAAGAATCAAGACTGGAAGTCAGTCTTGAGCTTTATTCTTGGAAAATTAGGATCACTTGCCTTCTTTTCCAAGGATCAAATCTCTTGGGTTGCTATCTCTTCACAGAAAAGATTTGAGACTTCAAACACTATAAATAAAGGCTCGATTGACAGAAGGAAGTGTACAACAAGTCTGAATCATCTCACATTCCCTTCTCTACTTTTATCAAGCATTGTATTACCTAGTTCTACTGTGTAAACAAAAAAGAGAGGAGAGATAAATATTATTGGTAAGGCTTTGTATCAAAACAAAAGGAGAGTGAAACAAACACTGAGTGTAAACTGTTTACACTCATCCCTATAATCACACCAAAAGTTCAACAGTTTGAAGAAAACACCCTTGCAATCCAAGGGAACTGGACGTAAGTGTAACATCCGACAATTTAAAATAACTATGAAGAGGCTTAGAATTGGAAATTTTCATTTTTTTTGGAAAGAATTCAAAAATCTGGAAAATTTGGCTAAGTATGGAAAATAATAAATTTTTGGCCAACTTTGAACAGTTACAACTCCTAGGTCAGGATGATCTAGGTGTAGTTCCAGTCTTGTTTGCAAAATCCGTGGAATGATCTTTCCAACGCCACTAAGTTTGCTTGTTTTTGAGTTCGTATGAGTGAGTTATGCCCTTTCGAAGTTGGGTTGTTGGCAGGGAAGTCTGTCCGGAAATTGTAAGGGTATTTTGGTCTTTTCCCTGGCCTTTTCTTTTGGATATATATGAGTGTGTTAGACTGATTTTGATCAGTTTTTCTCATTTTTTAAAGAGTGAAAGTAAGGGTTTAAGAGTGAAGAGGAGAAGAAGAGGAAAAAGAGAAGATCAAGCAAGGTTTCGTCAAAGATCGTTGTGGATATCGTCGGGGGTGATCCCTATTAAGGTATGTGAGTTCATAGTGTTAGGTTGGTTTATAACCTTGCATTGCATTGAGTTATGCTGTCGAGTTAAGTTTCCGCTGAGTTAAGAAAGCCAGGCCAAGGATTCGCTTAGGGGCCAGCAATGATCTTCGAGTGTCGGCCACGTCCAGGGTGTAGGCTCGGGGCGTGACAAACTTGGTATCAGAGCAAGTTCCGGAGTCCTAGAGAGTCTATGAATCCGTGTCTAAAGAGCCCTAGATATCGGTGTGAAGCGCGCCACATCTATAATTGGGAGGCTGCAACATTTAGGAAGATTTCTCACTTCTTTCACACTCATCTCGTGCGTTAGAGTTGATTTCTAAAAATTTTCTGTCTAATCCGTGCTTACGCATGTTTCAGAATGTCATGCCTCCACGAAGAGTTGGCAGAGGGCGTCTTCCTAGACGTTATGTTGATGAGCAAGAGTTACCATATACCCCGGGAATGCAACCACAAGGGGAAGTTTCTAATGCCAAGTTCAAAGAGGCAATTAGAATTCTGAGTCAAGCTATAACAAATCAGATTGGTCAGCAAAGGGGAGTTCGACAGGAAGGAGCTGACACTTCTAAGATTCGTGAGTTCTTGGGGATGAATCCTCCGAGTTTCATGGGTTCAAGCACTACTGAGGATCCAGAGAACTTTATTGAGGAGTTGAAGAAGATTTTTGATGTGATGCATATGGCAGATACTGAGCGGGTTGAACTAGCTGCGTATCAATTGAAAGATGTTGCTAGAACTTGGTTCGACCAATGGAAAGAGGACAGAGTTGCACCACCTACGAGTTGGGTCTGTTTTAAGGAAGCTTTCTTGGGGCGTTTCTTTCCTTAAGAATTGAAAGAGGCCGAGGTACGTGAGTTTCTCACACTTAAGCAGGAGTCTTTGAGTGTTAATGAGTACAATCTGAAGTTCACACTACTCTCCCGTTATGCTCCGGAGATGGTTGCGGACATGAGGAGTAGAATGAGTTTGTTTGTTGCTGGACTGTCTCGACTGTCGAGTAAAGAAGGTAGGGCTGCAATGCTTATCGGGGACATGGACATATCAAGGTTGATGGTCTATGTGCAGCAAGTTGAGGAAGAAAAGCTGAGGGACAGAGAAGAGTTCATAAATAAGAAAGCTAAGACCGGTAATGAGTCCGGGCAGCAGAAAGGTAATGCGAACCGTCCGTCCTTTCAACAAAGGCAAAGGGGACCTGTTCCATCATCTGCTAGTGCACCTGTACCAGAAATAAAAGTGAGTTCACTGGACAAAATTTGCAGAATTTCAGAGCTGGACCTGCACAGTCTCTGAATAGTGTGGCACAAGGAAGTAACCAGGTTCTTGCATGTGCTAGGTGTGGTAGAGTTCATCTAGGGAAGTGTCGTCAAGGCCAGATGGGTTGCTTTAAGTGTGGACAAGAGGGTCACTTCATGAAGGAGTGCCCAAAGAACAAGCAAGGTAGTGGAAATCTGGGCAGTAAGGCCCAATCTTCTTCAGTTGTCCCACCAGACAGGATGGCGCCTAGAGGAGCTACTTCTAGTACCGGTGGAGGAGCAAATCGCCTCTATGCAATCACCAGTCGCCACGAGCAAGAGAACTCTCCGAATGTTGTCACTGGTATGATCAAAGTCTTTGCTTTTGATGTGTATGCTTTGCTAGACCCAGGAGCAAGTTTGTCTTTTGTAACTCCCTATGTTGCAAATAAGTTTGATGTTCTTCCTGAAAGACTTTGTGAACCCTTTTGTGTTTCTACACCTGTTGGGGAGTTTATTCTAGCAGAAAGAGTTTATCGTGATTGTCCTATTTCCATCAATCACAAGAGCACCATTGCTGATTTGGTTGAGTTAGACATGGTAGATTTCGATGTCATTCTAGGTATGGATTGGCTTCATGCTTGTTATGCATCAATAGATTGTAGAACTCGAGCAGTCAATTTTCAGTTTCCGAGTGAGCCAGTCATAGAGTGGAGTAGCAGTTCAGCAGAGCCTAAGGGTCATTTTATTTCGTACCTTAAGGCGAGAAAGTTAGTCTCAAAGGGTTGTATCTATCACTTAGTCCGAGTTATTGACTCTAGTGTTGAGATACCTCATTTGCAGTCAGTTCCTATAGTATGAGAGTTTCCAGAAGTGTTTCCTGATGATCTACCCGGAATTCCTCCTGAGAGAGAGATAAAGTTTGGCATAGATCTCATTCCAGATACT